AAGAGTTCTTGAGTAACAAATACCTAAACTCCAAAACGTTATCCCAAATAGATGCCAAGCCTACCGATTCACCGTTCTGGAGGGGCATGATGAAGGTCAAGTCATCCTTTTCTAAGATTGGCGACGTCTAAGTGATGAGTTTTTAGGAAGATACCTACTTGGGTGACACTTCATTAGCTCTTCAATACCCAACCCTGTATAATAATGTTTTCAAGAAAGAGGATTCAGTGGCTTCTGTTCTTCGGGATAGCCCTTCGAACATCCAATTTTGCAAGGCATTACTGGGTGTCGAATGGAACATCTAATAGTGCCTTCATTGTGAAGTCTGTATATGAGGATCTTATGGATTCTGGACCTATTTTTTGAAAAAATACATATTTGGGAAATAAAGGTTCCTTCCAAGATCAAAGTTCTAATGTGGTTTTTGCAGAGGGAGGTAGTTCTTACTAAAGATAACCTTGCTAAGCGTAGCTAGCATTGCAGCACAAAATGTTGTTTTTATGATCACGACAAGACAATTCATCATTTATTGTCATGTTCGTTTACTACATTAATATGGAGCATGGTTCATGTTACATCCAATTTAGCACCAGAAATGAGGATTTCACTTTTTTGGAAAACTGGTTAGGTGGTATTCATCATAAGGTGAACGGTCAAATTTGTGTGGGGATTTTTCCTATTCTCTGGGCAATATGGAATTGCCAGAATGATTGTGTCTTTAACAAATCATCTTCTCTAAATTTATTACAGGTTATCTACAGAGCTACAACTTCAATCAGTACGGGCGCTTATGACCTCTTGGTGCAGCCGACTGGAGACGGTTGTGCAAAGTTAGTTTAACCAATTTGGCTAATGAGCCGCTCATAGATTATGTGGATGAGCTATGTAATCCCAGGTTTGACCGCTTGGGGTCCTGTTTACTATATATTTGTTTTTACTGTCAAGCACTCATGACTTGAACTTATTTCATGGTTAGTAGTATGGTTGTGTGCATCATGTGATGCAGAGGTCGAGGTACTCCCCTTTTTGGAAAATAATGCAAATCGCGAGGCTACTTAAGGTAGATATCAACTGCCCCCCAAGTAGCGAACTTGCAAGTTATAACAATTCCTCAGCAACTTCAATCGGATGAAAGCATGAAAATTCAGTAAAAAAATCGTCCCTCATCTCTCCTTAATAGGTGTAGAGTTAACATTTCTTGGAAACAAAATATGCCATAGGTATTTGAAAGTTGAATTGCGGACTATTCCTCTAGTGTTCACTAGCTACAAAAATCGACGCCTTGCTGCTACTTTTCCTGATGATTCCTAACCCCATAGTATGCTTCCATAGCATATCACCAGAGCTCCATGTTCTTCTTGTAGGAGTAACAACATTGGGTATTGTGCTAGCACAAATCAAAAACCATTCCGAAAACAGGATGAAGTACACATGAGTATGGTGATATGTAGACCAAGTGAACAAGATTAAGAAGCCATAACTCAAAAACATTAAAGCCCATCTATTTGAAACAAATGGATGTGTGGATAAATTCAAAATTCAACCCAAAAGCTTCAAAATTTTGTTGCTGGATGACTAGAAATGAAATTTGATGTCCAAAAAATCTCCCCTTCCATTGTTGCAATTGAATTAATTTAACGACGATTTTTGCATGTACTACTAGATTACATCACAAATTGGCAGAATACACGCTCGGAACATGGTTTAGATCAAGAGATTTTACAAAATTACTCCCTCCATCCGATAATATAAGACGTTTTTTGACACTAGTGTAGTGTCAAAATTTGTCTTACATTATGAGACGGAGGGAATACTAATCTTCTCAGGTTATGTATTAAATATGGCCACCATTCACCAATGATTATTCATCAATGTCTTTGTCTGCCCAATTTCTCTAGACTGCAGGGTGCTTTAGTGGAAGAAGTTTCAAGAAGATACCCGGACAATAAATCCAATGCTCTCTAGCCATTGGAACTTAGCACAGTAGGTTATGTTTGTAAACTGTAAGTGCATGAATTTCCTTTATAATGCATACCATTGAAGCACACAATTGACTTGGTGGGGTTATGAAGCATCAAGAAACTTAGTAGTGCAACTTGAATTCGTGTTGTTTAGCCCATAGCTTCAAAAAAGACGTGAGTCATGGGGTGCGACAAAAAGTGTTATGTGTTCATTGGTGAATGTGAAAGTGAAATTGATACAAGGAGTTACTAAAAGACTATTTACTCACTGCATAATCGCACTCATAAAAAATTTAATGAGTGAGCTACTCAAACATGAACAAATGTATGGCTAACTAGAAAAGACAGCTAGCAAAAAAACTCACATGGAAGTATAAAGATCACGTAGAATGAAGAGGACCTTAGATCAAATGAAACAAGGTTCTGAAGTTCGAAATCGATATCATTAAAGCTAGGGAAGGTCAAACATACTACCAGTCTACCATCCATATGTTTAGAGAAAAAGTTGAAATTGGAAAAATTGAAAAATCAGCCCAAAGTATCAAATGTTAGTCGCGGGGAAAATTTGATACCAACTAATTCACTTTTCCCGTTGAGAAAGTTAAATGCTTTGGTTTAAACACAAAAGTTCTACAGGAATGTTCCAAGAAACAGCACGATTTCACACACAATTTTTGAATCACCATATTTTCAGAATAAAATAACAATATCAGATAAATTTTGATCTATACTTACTGCTACAGTTTGGGAAGATAAAAGAAATATATATTATGGAAAATATCAGATAAAATACACTCTATATGCTTAATTCGTGATATAATTCAAAGGAAAGGCAGATTGCAGATGTCGTCAAATTTTGATTACAGAAGCTTCCCTTTTGCAGGATCACAGAGGTTGAAGCTTTCAACTCATACACATGGCAAAAAAAAGAGCCAAACAAATGAAGCATACGCTCTTAGTTGCACATGTTCTCCCTTATAGGTACTACCTCTGTTTCGAAATATAGAACGGTTTGGGCTTTAAAATTAATCTAGGTAGTGCAAAAATTAAAATAAAATAAAAGGCAGGAAATGTGCATGAAGATTGCATTATTTTTCATGTTGTGTATGTCTTATGCTGCAAGCATTTATCCAACTATTAACGCAATGTAGGGAGTGTGTGAATGTTGTCTATTTCAAGAGCAGATTGGATCTACCTGGTTGCACTTTAAAATCATTAGTATGTTTTCGGTAACAATAAAATGGGTGGATGATATCAAACCTTTTTATTAATACTCAAGTATATAGTATATATATTTACATATCCCATGACCACCCAAGGATTTGATGATTCCATGCTCAAACTGTATGCTTCTTGGTCATCAAAATTGCCCTGCAATATCCCAAGCTCCTCACATTTTATTCAGTTGAACAGGGTGAACAAGACTAAAGGACAAAGAAGGTTCACTTTGGGGGAAGGGCGAAACCTTGTATACTATTGACTCGGAATTATCCTGATAAGCTCAATGTCAAACAGGAGAGTTTTTTCTATTAATCCTTGATTCCTTAGAACGAAATCTAGAGCTCTTTCTCCCTGTAAGAAAAATATGGTGCTTTTGTTATCTAATCATCAAAATTATGGAAAACTTCAAAATTCAAGGAAATATATTACCGAAAATGTTGTCGGTGTGGGGTTAACTTGTTCAAGTCATTATATGGGTATGCAATATCCTATGGTACTATTATTCTGAAGTGTATGGGCATCAGTAATAAGGTTAAAATTTGTGTTAATAAATTTTGAAATTGTGGTTACGGAAATGTGGACTGACCTTCTAACTCCAGCGGGACACATGCCTGTCATAGCCTCCTCAAAGGCTGGTATTACCTAATTGACGTTATTAAGAATCGTACTTGTCAACAACTACCCAATAGTAGCTTCAGAATATAGAATGGAGTGAAACCTCTAAATGTAATGAAGTGGAAGGGAACTATAACCCGAGTTCTAGAGAACTTGTTGTTTTGATCATAGAGAAAGTTAATTCCAAAATAGTATCTGACAATATATTTTTAAGTGTTTTGATTGGATATAGGCAAAGTTTCCCAATATATAATTTTGCAGTATTTACAAATATCATATTATAGAAACAATTTGTATACCCATCCCAATCAATCTGATGTGCATTCACAAACCCAAGTCAATATCGTGGTTGCACACCTCAACAAATAAAGCTGAAGAACATACATACAAAATGAGCTCGAATCCAATTTAAATGTCATGCTTGCTGCTCACCACTAATGTCTCTCCCTTCTTTGGGGATGGGCCATATCCAACCCGCAAGTCCTGTAATTCCTCATGAGAATTGTAAATGTAACAAATCTGACCTTTTGTGTACTTTGCAGGGATCATCGAATGGCAGTGCAAGCACCTTGTATCGGAGGCCTGATTTTGTTTTAGTGCAATGAGGATAACTCATTTTCATCTTTCCATAATCTTTCCCACGAAGCACTGGCACTTATTGCAACTTTTACTTATGAACACCTATATGAGTTTGGAATAGAAAACTAGATAACTTAAACTTCCCAGCAGAAGCTCATTTAGCAACAGCTTCTTAAGTTGAATTTTTTTCCCGAAGTACCAAGAGGCTAACGAACTAAATAATATCTATAAAATGTGCTCACAATAAATGAGGTATTACGGCCTTAAGATAAAAAATATATAATCAAACAACTAGCGTCTCTTCTACAATGTCAACGTAGAAGATTTCATTCCACCTATCTGTCATTTAAGCATTCAAAGCATATGTGCTATAGTAGAGCAAAACTTGTCTACAATGTCGACTGATGCCTACAGGTTTTTAAAAACAGTCTTAATTGGTTGAATCTTCAAAGCATATGTGTTATAGTAGAGGAAAGCCTGTCTAATTTTCAAATGGGGGTATATCGATTGAAAACTCACTGTCAGTTAATTCAATTTTTACTGCTCCCTTCTCTACACCATACTGCATGGAGCCAATCGTGAGACTAGTAACTGGAGTCAACAAAAGTCTCCTTTCTACCATACCACCTGTAAACAAGAAGTAAAAGAATGAATTAAACCTAGGTCGGTAACATTTGAGATCTAATCAAATTATCATAATTATTAATAAGAAAGAGGTTCATTGCGTATGAAGTGATACCCAATGCTAACAATCTTGCGGCATACATTGACAAATAAAATAAACATGGTCATCTGGAAATGAATGTATATAGTCTTAAGAAGGAAGCAATTGCAGTCAACAAACAGTTCCAATAAAGGATAATATAATAAATCCTGCAAACTTCTTAGATGTTGTCCTAGCACCACACTCTTATATTGCTTTGCATACACATATCTCAAACATTTTTCGTTTCACCGCAGTAATACACATGCTGTTTGGGGTCTGAAAACATGTAGTTATGTCCCTTGGTATCAACTCAATATACTCTATGAATCATGATACTGTTATCAATAACTACTTTGGGGTAGGATTGTCAAACCGGACTTTCAGTAATTTCTTCCAATTGGGGGTGGTGCATTGTTGTACCATTTGTGGATGCATAATAAGCATGTCTTATGACGCACAACACAACTAAAAAATCTTTGCCCAGAAACTCTGGGCAGGGTCATTGAAGGTTAGCAAATACCTGAATTGTTTTATTCTTAGTTTTCCATCGATAGAAATGTAACAGGTACCTTCACACAAAAATATAGCAAGAACTAAGAACTACGTACATTCAGACATTGGTGTACTTCCAACATTAGGTATTCATTAAAAAAATGTAACAGGTATTCTTAGTCTACTAATTAGGGATTTGTATTTTCAACATTCAGACAAACTACGTAGATTCAGCTTCTAAATCCTACTAGCTGTATCAATAATCATATCTTACAGAAATATTACAGTCCTTGACAGGGGGCGCACTCAACACGGTCAATGCGCTTCAGTTCCACCACTAAACCCAGAGGAGACTTAGCAGACATTGGTGTAACATGATGCAGCCGAGTTTGTAGAATATAAAGGCTGTCGTCGTCATATTGATGATGATGAAGAGGTGTTGCGGACTTGCAGAAATAGCTTCAGTGAGGAAAGCTTCAGATCAGCATCTTGGAGTGTCCAGATGTGCCAAAGGGATAACCCCACTAGACGTTCAAATATCTCTTCGAGCATGAAACTGAGTCCCGTTGTTTCCTAATCCTAACATATTGATATGTCGTGTTCAGTGGCATTGCTAGAGGAACACATTGTAGGCTGCTACTACAATGTCCTAGAGCATGTCGCATCTTGGTCTTAAAAGGCAGGAGGTAAGCCCATGCCGATATTACTTTGGGCCCTAAAAATGGGAGCAGTGTGTTTGTTTCAATGTTGTGGTTTTAAATAGGGGAATTGATGTGTTGATTCAATAGAGTGCAACAACCATGTCTACCAATTTGCAAGCATGTGCAGCCATGTTGCCTTCCGTATCCTATGCATGGGGTGTTATGGCGGAAAAGAGGTTGCAGTAGCAGAAATCAAAATGTCTACTGCGTGTACCAAGCAATGACTCAAGATTTAAATCACAATCTTGCCATTAAATGTGCACATTCATATCGAAAGTACAGTCGTTGTAGATCTAAGATAGTATGCTAAATAAAAAATCAGAAAAACTTACTCCAAAGAGTTTCTAGAAATTACTTGGCAAGTTACATACAAACCATGATGTTTCATGTATACAAGATGTCTGAAGAATGTGGAAACTAAAGAAGGAAAGGTACATGCAACCAGAAAACATGAATCCAACACCACCCCCCATGATCTAATGGTAGGAAAAAGCCAAGTTGTTTGAGCTAGATGCATATCCTAATGTTTCCAATCCTAGTTTCTAATCCTAGATGCATATCCTAATGTTTCCAATCCTAATGAAGTCCACGTTCTTACTACTCTGTCCATTTTCTACACCCGCTCCAGTAAAGAAGGCCCATGTAGCGGTGGATTGACATGTGATCATGTTCTTCTTCACACCTTTAAGCTTGATGTCACGAAGTGGTAACCACACTGGGAGGTCGACATGGAGTGAAACCTCTAAATGTAATGAAGTGGAAGGGAACTATAACCCGAGTTCTAGAGAACTTGTTGTTTTGATCGTAGACAAAGTTAATTCCAAAATAGTAACTGACAATATATTTTTAAGTGTTTTGATTGGATATAGACAAAGTTTCCCAATATATAATTTTGCGGTATTTACAAATATAGTATTATAGAAACAATTTGTATACCCATCCCAATCAATCTGATGTGCATTCACAAACCCAAGTCAATATCGTGGTTGCACACCTCAACAAATAAAGCTGAAGAACATACATACAAAATGAGCTCGAATCCAATTTAAATGTGATGCTTGCTGCTCACCACTAATGTCTCTCCCTTCTTTGGGGATGGGCCATATCCAACCCGCAAGTCATGTAATTCCTCATGAGAATTGTAAATCTAACAAGTCTGACCTTTTGTGTACTTTGCAGGGATCATCGAATGGCAGTGCAAGCACCTTGTATCGGAGGCCTGATTTTGTTTTAGTGCAATGAGGATAACTCGTTTTCATCTTTCCATAATCTTTCCCACGAAGCACTGGCACTTATTGCAACTTTTACTTATGAACACCTATATGAGTTTTGAATAGAAAACTAGATAACTTAAACTTCCCAGCAGAAGCTCATTTAGCAACAGCTTCTTAAGTTGAATTTTTTTCCCGAAGTACCAAGAGGCCAATGAACTAAATAATGTCTATAAAATGTGCTCACAATAAATGAGGTATTACGGCCTTAAGATAAAAAATATATAATCAAACAACTAGCGTCTCTTCTACAATGTCAACGTAGAAGATTTCATTCCACCTATCTGTCATTTAAGCATTCAAAGCATATGTGCTATAGTAGAGCAAAACTTGTCTACAATGTCGACTGATGCCTACAGGTTTTTAAAAACAGTCTTAATTGGTTGAATCTTCAAAGCATATGTGTTATAGTAGAGGAAAGCCTGTCTAATTTTCAAATGGGGGTATATCGATTGAAAACTCACTGTCAGTAAATTCAATTTTTACTGCTCCCTTCTCTACACCATACTGCATGGAGCCAATCGTGAGACTAGTAACTCGAGTCAACAAAAGTCTCCTTTCTACCATACCACCTGTAAACAAGAAGTAAAAGAATGAATTAAACCTAGGTCGGTAACATTTGAGATCTAATCAAATTATCATAATTATTAATAAGAAAGAGGTTCATTGCGTATGAAGTGATACCCAATGCTAACAATCTTGCAGCATACATTGACAAATAAAATAAACATGGTCATCTGGAAATGAATGTATATAGTCTTAAGAAGGAAGCAATTGCAGTCAACAAACAGTTCCAATAAAGGATAATATAATAAATCCTGCAAACTTCTTAGATGTTGTCCTAGCACCACACTCTGATATTGCTTTGCATACACATATCTCAAACATTTTTCGTTTCACCGCAGTAATACACATGCTGTTTGGGGTCTGAAAACATGTAGTTATGTCCCTTGGTATCAACTCAATATACACTATGAATCATGATACTGTTATCAATAACTACTTTGGGGTAGGATTGTCAAACCGGACTTTCAGTAATTTCTTCCAATTGGGGGTGGTGCATTGTTGTACCATTTGTGGATGCATAATAAGCATGTCTTATGACGCACAACACAACTAAAAAATCTTTGCCCAGAAACTCTGGGCAGGGTCATTGAAGGTTAGCAAATACCTGAATTGTTTTATTCTTAGTTTTCCATCGATAGAAATGTAACAGGTACCTTCACACAAAAATATAGCAAGAACTAAGAACTACGTACATTCAGACATTGGTGTACTTCCAACATTAGGTATTCATTAAAAAATGTAACAGGTATTCTTAGTCTACTAATTAGGGATTTGTATTTTCAACATTCAGACAAACTACGTAGATTCAGCTTCTAAATCCTACTAGCTGTATCAATAATCATATCTTACAGAAATATTACAGTCCTTGACAGGGGGCGCACTCAACACGGTCAATGCGCTTCAGTTCCACCACTAAACCCAGAGGAGACTTAGCAGACATTGGTGTAACATGATGCAGCCGAGTTTGTAGAATATAAAGGCTGTCGTCGTCATATTGATGATGATGAAGAGGTGTTGCGGACTTGCAGAAATAGCTTCAGTGAGGAAAGCTTCAGATCAGCATCTTGGAGTGTCCAGATGTGCCAAAGGGATAACCCCACTAGACGTTCAAATATCTCTTCGAGCATGAAACTGAGTCCCGTTGTTTCCTAATCCTAACATATTGATATGTCGTGTTCAGTGGCATTGCTAGAGGAACACATTGTAGGCTGCTACTACAATGTCCTAGAGCATGTCGCATCTTGGTCTTAAAAGGCAGGAGGTAAGCCAATGCCGATATTACTTTGGGCCCTAAAAATGGGAGCAGTGTGTTTGTTTCAATGTTGTGGTTTTAAATAGGGGAATTGATGTGTTGATTCAATAGAGTGCAACAACCATGTCTACCAATTTGCAAGCATGTGCAGCCATGTTGCCTTCCGTATCCTATGTATGGGGTGTTATGGCGGAAAAGAGGTTGCAGTAGCAGAAATCAAAATGTCTACTGCGTGTACCAAGCAATGACTCAAGATTTAAATCACAATCTTGCCATTAAATGTGCACATTCATATTGAAAGTACAGTCGCTGTAGATCTAAGATAGTATGCTAAATAAAAAATCAGAAAAACTTACTCCAAAGAGTTTCTAGAAATTACTTGGCAAGTTACATACAAACCATGATGTTTCATGTATACAAGATGTCTGAAGAATGTGGAAACTAAAGAAGGAAAGGTACATGCAACCAGAAAACATGAATCCAACACCACCCCCCATGATCTAATGGTAGGAAAAAGCCAAGTTGTTTGAGCTAGATGCATATCCTAATGTTTCCAATCCTAGTTTCTAATCCTAGATGCATATCCTAATGTTTCCAATCCTAATGAAGTCCACGTTCTTACTACTCTGTCCATTTTC